AAAAAAAAAAAAAAAAAGAGATGTCCAATTTTGCCTTGCTGTAGAAGCCAGAGAATTCAATATTGCGGTTCTTATAAGTACACATCTCTAAACTATAAATGAGAAATCAATGTAATACCAATTGGCAAACAATATGACAAATAAGATCTAGAATCAGCAAAGTTTCCAGAATATATAACCCAGGTCTCATGGGAAACAGTTCAGTTCTGATTTCTCACTGTAATCCTCATGAGGATGACACCTAGCTCTTTAACAGGAGGGAACTCTTGAAATTACTACTTTCTGGAGGTTTTCTCTCTTAAAAAGGATTCCTAAGAGGCTAATATTTACCTAATCAAAATAATTTAAATTTATTAACAACACTTTAAGGCAAGTTACCCATTTAGCTTTGGATTCAGCAACTCCATTTATCTAGTACTGTATTTTCTTTGTTTAGGTAGCTTCTCCTTCTTAAACTCATATTGTTTCTAATCAAGTTACAACATTAAAAAGCTAAAATCACAGAGCCTAGACATTAAAATTTACAATAACCTATAAGGTGTCTTCTAATTAGTTACAATAAACTCATTAAAGTACTTAAAATTCAGCATTACGACTTAGATTACAGCCTCTGCATCATGTTTAACCATAAAGCAAAAGAAAACTAAAAACATCAACCACAACAAAAAACACACATATATGTCTTGCAAAAGGCATATCACACTCTGCAGCTTGTCTGAAAAATTTGAAACCAAATACTAAAAAAAAAAAGCCTCTCAATGTTGCCTTTTAAAATAGATTTCCCTAAAGCGTAATGGCATCATTCAAAATCAGACTAATAGGCTCAAGGAACAAAGGGAATTTTTTCATTTTATGTCAGGTTATAATAATGTCATATCCATTTCCAACCATCTACAATGAAAGGACTTTGGAGAAACCAAATCTGTGAGTAACCACCCCAGGAGACTGTGTCCTTGAAGACAAGATCTTAGTCTGGACTGTCATAAATCTTACCTTTTGCATGTTTGGTTTGATACAGCGAACAAAGAAAGGATTAGAGGAGCTTAGCGTTGCCATTAAGGAATGCAGTGAGTCCTATTAGAAAGGAAAAGTATATGTTGATTTAGTTTTCTTATTATGTCATTTTTAAATTTCTCAGCACCCTAGGCACTTATCAGAAACAAGAATAAAAAAAACATAAATCACAGGAATAGTTTTTTATTTTTAATTGTCATTCTAATGTAAAACAAAGCATGATATTACAATTAATTATAACTGAAATTATTCCATAATATACAAAATTGATTCTTTGAAATAGTATAATTTTAAAAAACCATTCTGTCAACAAACAACCCAAGGATATTTCAATGTTTAGTACAGAAAAACTGAGAAGTATCACCACTTTTCCACTATAATTATTTCTCTTAATTCATTATTTCCATCAAGATGACAGTCTATGCCAGAACTTCACTGGTCTTTGAGCCACAAACCTTCCCTTAAAGTGAAATCACCAGGCCTACAGACTTCAGCTCAATCCTTAATGCTACTTTTCTTTCTCAAGTTTTGCTATTATGGAGAATTTTTTAATATTTACCAAAGCAGACAAAAGCGTAAAAAAGAGTCCTCATTACCAGCTCCAGCTCCTGGATAATCTCATTTAATCTGATTCTTGTCTCCAAACATACCATGCCCACCCCTTGTAGAAAGCAAATCCCAGGCATCATATTTCATCCACCAGTATTTTAGTATGTGTTATTAAGGGCTAAGTAAGTTTAAAACATTATGTAACTACAATATCGTACCTGAACAGACTTAACAGTAATTATTTAAATTAATATTAAATTGTGCAATGGTCTCACATTTGATACTAAAATGCTCAACTGTCTCAAATTTCATAATTTTAAATTGTTTATTTTTGCATTAGAATGCAAAAATCATTCATGCACTGTAGTTAGTTGATATAACTTTTAAGTCTCTTTTAATCCATTGGTTTTCCCTCTATTTCTCTATTTTTTTCCCCTCTTACAATTTTGCTGTTAAAGAAAACTGGATTGTCTACGACACTACATTGATTGGTTACTTCTCCACTCAAAAGGCTTTAAGATTTCTCAGAGGACAAAACGTCCTGGCATTCACAGCTCTTCATATTCTGGTACCAACTTAAATTCTCACGAGGCGTCCCTGTCCTGCTGGCCTCCTAAGAGAGGACTCACTTCCCTGTCCCTGGACTTCTCCCACCCTTGTCTCTACCTGGAATGCCCGCCCACCCTTTTCCATTTCTTTCACTCCTGGTCCAATATAAGTCCCAAATGTCGGCAAAGCTTTCCAAGATACCTCCAGGTAAAATGAATCTTCTAGAAAAAGAAAACCTAACACCTTCACTGGGAGATTAAGAGCTTAGGTGTCAGAGTCAGACACACCAAGTTTCAATCCAAATCCTAGCTTCAGTACTCTGAGGGACTGAGTGGATCTTCATTTCTCTTAACCTCAGTTTCCTCATCTATAAAATGGGGACGATAGTATGTACACATAGCGTTACATGAGGAATGAACAAGGCAATGTATATAAAGTGCATTAGCTCAATGACTGGCACATACTAGGTATTTAATAAGTGGTGGCTATTATTATATCCTATCTGGGGAATCCCTTCATAGTGGACCACTGAATCCTGCCAGTCACGTTGGTGTGGACCTGGCTCTTCTACTACATCGAGCAACCCACTTCACCCAGAACGCAGCCCTACCTATGCATCCATCGTCAGGAAGCAGAAGACAACCCCACACAGGGCAGATTTAATAAATGTCTCGGACTGACGTGCCTCCATTTACCCTTCATGTTTAGGGGATTTTTCTCTTGACGATAAAACAGACAATTAAGTTATGGAAATGGTCTTCACATGCTCTACCTCTAAACTCTATAAAATGCTTATATATTAAGAATGTTCCTTACTAAATTCTGGACATCTGGACAAGGTAACTGATTTCAATCTTATTTAAACATGCACTTGGTCATTATTCCAAGTTATACTGTAAACGTACCTGGGAAGAAATATACCCTATTTTTACATGAGCCTCCTACATACAAACCAGAGTGATCCGAAATGGCCAAACAGACTTTCTTGAGAAGAACTGTTATTTCAAAGCTTAGAGTAAGTAGCTATTTCTTATTTCTTTTTAAAGAAAAGATCTATATGTTTTCCTCTAACTCAAGAAAAGAAAAGTGTGCTTTATTTCTAAAGCACTGGCTGGTTTAAAAGCATGATATACAAAGAAACAAAATTAAATAAATATTCTTAGACCTCGTGTATACCCAATTCCCCTTTAAGTCTCAATAAGGATTAATTCCTCAAAGCCGGCAGTGGAGACTAACCTTGAACTGTGAGCTGACTGTGGNCTTTATTTCTAAAGCACTGGCTGGTTTAAAAGCATGATATACAAAGAAACAAAATTAAATAAATATTCTTAGACCTCGTGTATACCCAATTCCCCTTTAAGTCTCAATAAGGATTAATTCCTCAAAGCCGGCAGTGGAGACTAACCTTGAACTGTGAGCTGACTGTGGGCCGCCGATGTTTGCTGCCACATTTCAAGGTGTCCTGGTTGTTGCGGCTTGAAACATGCTCAAACAGGTCATAGATGAAGTCAAACCTGTGTGAGGTGAGAGCGGGAGCATTGTGAAGTGCACACACCCGTTATTAGGTGCCGGATTACTATAATTACAGGGCACTTTCCCATTGATAACTGAAAGTCATACATGGAAGCCTGAAAGAACTAAGACAGCTTCCAAAGATTTCAAACCAACCACTGCCAGAGAGCTTGAGGCACTGGAAACGTGCACCAACCCTCGGAGTGCCAGAGCTTTGCAGAGAAGCGTACTGGGATGACAGCGACCCAGCATGGCATCCCTCTTGGGAGTGATCTGCTTTCTAGAACACCACATGAGATTCTGAGAGCCTCAGTTTCCTTGCCTGTGGAAGGGGGATATCTGTTTTGCCCAATTCACGGTGGTGCAAAGATCCAACCGGCTAACCAACAAAAAGGTGCTCCTGAAGAACACACTCTGTGAGCTGACTAGGGTTCAAATCCTGCCTCCACCACTTCCCAGGTGTGTCACTTGAGCAAGATGATGTATTTCTTGCTAGGCCTCAGTTTTTTCATCTAGAAAATGGGCATAACTGTAGACTACATCCCCTAACATTGGGGTAAGAATGACATGAGAAAATGTATGCAAAAGGCTGAAAACATGGTGTCTGAAACATTTTAAGTGCTAATGTTGGGTCTTTTGGGTTTTTTTTCTTTTTTTTTTTTTTGGCGGCTGGCCAGTACAGGGATCTGAACCCGTGACCCTGGAGTTATAAGGCTGTACTTTAAGTTCTTATTATTAAAAAGTTCTGTAAAATATATTGCCACTATTAATAAAGCAGCTTCCCAATAGCTTTTTATCTTCCTTGCATGGAAGATATCATGCGCTAGAAAGCTGGAGGACTTGGTGGCTCCAATGTCACCAGGAAAGGCAGGGAGGATTTCCAGGCATCCACGTCACCCAAGTGGCAATGTTAGCCCTTTCCCCGGTCTCTTCTTCCTTTGCCCCGACCATTTTTCATTTTTGTTCTAGAGTATTCTTTAATGTTCACTCTTTGAAGTTCTCCAACTGTGCTTTGAGCTCTTCGGAGAAATGCTTTGGCTCCATTAAAACATCACAGATGTCAAAGGGGAGAGAGTGTGGAGCAAGCAAACAGCCCAAGCCTCTCATTTGCAGAGGGAAACCTGGGGCTGAAACAGAAGCTTCTTTACACCCAAGTCACAAAACCGCTTGACTCTGTGACAGAGGCAAAACCAGCAAAACCCCATCTTGCTGGTCTCCAGACTTGCGATCTTTTCACTATGACAAACTGCTTCTCCTTACAACCAACACAGGGCTTTTATTTAAATGTACCACTTTAATAATGAAATTGCTTTGACAGATAACATGCTATGGTATTTCTTAAACATCTATCATTTTTACAGATCTTAAAGCTCATCTAAAAATAAAATAGCCAACAATGTTGTAAACAGGGAATCTTCACATGGAAAATTTAAAATAAGTTTAAAGATCAAATGCTGTAAATTCCGAGCTTCTAAAGCTGCTACTTTAGCTAGTTCCATTCACCCCAATTCACAGCCACCGAAGGGACAGGGTAGCCACCTGGTATTTACATTTCTAATTAAGTATTAGAGGTTTTTTTTTAAACAATTGTGCTACTTTCCTTCCTTAGATATTAAAAATTTGTGTCTGTTACAGATTCATGCTGGATCTGACAAAGGTATTGAAAGCTTTCAAGCACGAGTTTTTTCCCAAACCCCATCTCTCTCACAAAGCCTCCTAAAAATAGGACACTTCCTGATTTAATATATACAAACAGCTAAATCAATCACTAAAAATTTCTTCATGCTTTCCTTAAGTATTGATTTAATTGTGTAAATTTAAAATTCATGAATGAATAAAATGAATGTGTAATAAATTTATAATTTTAGCTGAATTAAGACTTATTTTTCTTGACATCCTTTACACTCACTACGACATGGGTCCTATAAAACCAAGGCTGAAATCAATTTTAACACATAGCTCTAAGCTCACTGGGAAGAAAGTAGAGCATACTGGTTAAAATCCTAGATTTTTGAGCCCAGCAGACCAGATCAACACCAGGTTCTCCAACTTAATGGTTACCAGTTGAGGGGCGATGGGCAAGTCCAACTTTCAGTTTCCTTATCTGCATAACAGGATTAATATTAGTACCTTATTCATGGGCTTGTTGTTTATTTCGGTACCTCATTAAACAGTAGTTACTGCTACTGTTATATCTCGAGTTATTTTATTGATGAAATATTGCCTGGCGAAGATAACAGTGAATTAATTTTTTTACATAATAGTTATTTGTTCTATATTCGTGAACTGAAAGCATTTTCACAATATTAATTAGCTTGCTAACGACTTCTCAGGGAGGAGACTGACGTACCGGCTCTCTCTTAGCAAGTTGAGAAGGTCATCTCTAAAGGTATCTCTGTTCTTCTCCAAGATACCTCGGACATCGTACTGTACCTAGTTTTAAAAAATAAAAGGGAGAGGGGAGAACTGATCAAAAGAACAATTTCAGGTCATAAGTGACTCCTTTAAAAGTCAGACCCATGAAAAGAAGTCATTTCAGTAAATTTATGATTGGCTTCTGAATGAATACCATTTCCTCTGGTTATCAAATGGTCAATATGAATAAATATGTTAATAAGAAGTTACCTCTCCAGCGTAGTGTTTCACTCCAAAATTGTTGAGCGCAACTCTGGGCTTCACATAAAAGTGGTTATTCTAATTAAAAAAAAAATGCAAATGTCTTATTTCAAATCATTGATTTCCTTTGACTTTTAGAGAAAACTAAATACAACAGACAATGAAAACAATTTCAAAACCTGCCATGTATCAGAGTTGTAGGTCATAGCTTAGGACGCATTCTATCAAAACCACATAACTTTTGACTGTGTCATTCCAGTAGGTTTAAACTTTTAAGTTCTCTACACATAAAATAAACTTAGGAATAGTCTGACAAGTAGCCCCAAATCTAACCCTTTGGCTTATTTCAATTTAGCTCGAGTAATACAACAGCTTTGGTTTCAGAAAAATTAAATGTGGGAGGCACGATTGGACCAATAGCATTGAAACATCTTGAATGTGATCTTAATCCACACATTTGCTATCCAGACATAATTAAGAATTGGCAGGTTTTCACATACAGCATGTTGGTTGTGTAACTTCTCTAATAAGGTGCTGTCTGTAGCTTGAGGAAAATGGCTTTCTTCATTGATAAGGGCCAGGAGGCCAAGTTTCTAGAAGAGAGAAGAAAAAGACTGAATGAATGAGTTAAAAGTTGAATATGCCTTTGAAACTATTCAGGGCTCCCTTCCTCTCCACTCTCTATCAAGTTAGTGGTTAAGGAAAAGGCACAGTGATTTCTTAGACAGAAAAATTCAGAATGATACACTACAGAGAAAACCAATTAATTTAAATTCTGCATGAATGTTTTAAAAAATTGAACCCATTACAATTTTGTGGATAAAACTTTTACAACTGGCAAATCTACTACTGGGACTGGCAAGGCTTTGCTGCTGAATTAAGATCTCAGTGAGCCAATTCACACACTGTTGACTCTGAAATATGAGTTCAATGAGACAATAGGTTTTGAAGCAGCCAAGTATTTAAATTCAACCTTGCACATTTACACTTATGTTTCCAAATGGTCCATTGTGTTCTAAACATTCACATCTTTGATGTGCATGTTTGCACAAGTTATTTTGTTCCCATAAATATGAATCAGCCCAGCTGGGCACCCCTGGGACTGTAACCATTCTTCAACAATCCATTACCTTCTCAATCAAGTCAAGGCATTCTCCATTGTCTATCCAGTCAATATCTTCCCACACTAATCCTTCCCTGTAGAATGATGAAAAGGGGCCAAGTTAAATTAAAATGAAGCATTAAAACTATCTAACGTGGCTGCTGATTTAAAAAAAACAAAAACAAAAAACTTGAAATGGAATCCTATGAGTGCTTACCTGCTATATTCTAGTTGCTCCAAAGAAAAAATATGCTTGTTAAAGTATTCCTGAAGTTTCTCATTTGCATAGTTTATATTGAACTGCTCAAAGCGATTAACCTAAGGAGAGAAAACATTCCACAATGTTAGTGCACTATTACACCTAAATATGAAAAAAGGCAAAAAAAAAAAAAAAATGCAGAAAAAAAAAATCCAAGTTTGTTTCAAGTGATTTGTTTAATAGCAGCTAATGAACGGATAAAAAGGAATTCATGGGTCCCCCTCTGAGGAAGCCTACCTCGAAGTTTTCAAATCCAAAGATGTCGAGGATGCCAATAGATTTGAAGTCATCTTTGCCTTTGATCCTGCTATTGATCTTCATGATCATCCACTCGAAGCAGCGTGCATAAAGTGCCATGGCCAAGGAGTCTCTGCTGTCTACTGCCTGCGGGGAGAGGAAACACCAAACACACAGGTGACCATGGCAGCCCAAGCAGGCATGTCCATCCTTGCCCCACCCAGGAGACACGCCACACTGGGGTTGCACCTGGGCCCCCCAATGTTCAGTAAATCAATACCATCGAGGAAAATGTAGATATCTAAAGAAAGTGTGCTCTAGTATATCCTTTATTCAGATATCTGTATAACCCACATAAACAAAACTCTTTGGGGCTCTATGCTTCTTTTATTATCTATCATCTTCTTATTTTCTACTCAGAACACATAAAGGTTTTCTCCATGATATGGTTAGCATTTTTATTTATCAAATTAAGAAACATATTAGAAGGGCTAGCACATATCAATTGGTTCAAGGCAGTAGCAGAGACAAAAACAGATACAATGTACCACTGCCTGTTTTCATGTATTATAATAAAAATAATAACACATTCTTATAGCTAATGTTTATTTAGTGCTTAATCTGTACCAGACATTAAATACTAAGCATGTATTGGTGGTTTTCATCCTTACAAGAATCCTACGAATTAGGTATGATAATTATCCTTGTCTTACAAGGAGGAAACTGAGGCACAGTAAATAAATTTCTTAAGAATAGACAGTGGTAAGTGGAAGGGTCAAGACTTAGACTCAGGTGATCTGCATTAGATCCTGTCCTCTTAAACACTATGTTACATGGTCTCTTAGAAAACAATTCAACAGCTTTGTCTATTCCCAACACTTGGATATCATCTCAATTTTTAATCATGAACCAAGGTCATTTGAACAGTTCACTGTAGTTACT